GAAATGACCAGAACAATTTCCGGGTCAGCCGGAAGTGATCCTAGGTGGGACGGTCGCCATGGTAGCGGTCGGCGCGTGGCTAGGCGGAGGGAAGATGGCGGTGACAGGCTGGTTGGAGAGTCTGCGGGCGGCCGAGAAGACAGCACTGCTGCAGGACGGTAACTCGAGACCCCCCGTGAGCTCCCTCGTTCTTTCCGCAGGGTCCGGCCTCTGCGCTGGCCCCTCCGGGGAGGGCCTCAGGGCCCGGGCCCGCAGAGCTGGAAGGGTCGCGGCCGCCACCCAAGCCAGGTCCTGCTTTTGTAGATGAGGAAACTGAGGCCCAAAGAGATGACGTAACTGGAACACGCATCTCCATACATCCCCTAGTGTCCTATATACCATCTCGCTCCGCTCGGAGTTCTGTTACTAATAAATAACACGTAATTCCTTTTACATTCATGATGGCATTTGTTCCACACCGCTGTCCGGAAAGGCTGTTAATTTTCCGCTCCATTTTACAGAAGAGGAGACTGATCCAAGAAGGTTTTAGAGTATCCCAGATCCCCCAGCCAGTCAGTGGTACAGCTGCATCTTGACCTGGGACCCCGTGACTTCAGTCTTGGGGTTCTATTGCTGAAGGGCAGCCTGGTGTTTTGGAAGAGAGGGAGACCTGGGTTCTAGTTACGACTCTGCTATTTAAATCACCGGGCTCCCCACTGTTCTCTGTACTTGTTTGGACTTCACTTTCCTCATCTGTAAAATGAGCTAGATGGGCTCCCTGCTGTCTCTGAGTTCCTTCCCAGCTGTAATATTGTTTGTAAGTGAACCTCTAAATGTTCCCTGGGTCTTTAGGGGAGACCGTGCAAGGGCCTGGGGCTGTGCCTGGAAGAGATGGGCACAGGGGTATGGAATCCTGACTTTCACTCTAGGATTGGCCAGTGTAACACCTCCCCACCACCACCACCACCACCACTTCAAGGTCCCTTCCTGGACCCACTTGGCAGCCAGAATGAATTAGGTCTGAATTCCTGTAGCTTTTAGGATACCAACTGGAGACTCACATCCACAAGCAGAGGCCAATCAAGGAAGCATGGAAATTAAAATAAGTTGCTCATTTGCTCATTCATAAACACAGCATTTAGGGAGGCTTTACTATGTGCCAAGCTGTGTACTAGAGCAGATAGAAAAAGACAACAACAACAACAACAAACAAACCAATATTAAATATATGGATACCCGTTGTCAGACCTGTCCTGTAGATTTACCCTCTTGGTGTGTGTGGGTACGTGGGGGATGTTACCTCCTTCCCACCAAGAACCACTGCTATTGATATTGAAAACCCGACACACTTTACATTTTTTCAGGAATAATTTATGTTCATTGTGGAAAAATAAAAAATAAATTAAAAAGTCACCCATAATCCTACCATCCAGAGATAATCATAATTTACATTTTCATACATAAACTATATTTTTTCTATGCGTACACACTCACATATATTTTAAACAAAATACCATACTAATATACTTAAAAATTTTTGTATCTATATACATATGTACATACCTATATAACAAATATATATTAGAATAAAGTATAAATATTATATAATCTTTGGGTAAAAGAGAATATTCTAAGTACAACTTCTGGGTAGTAACCACAAAGGAAAAAATAGTTTACTATATAAAAATAAACACTTGTTTGGGAAAAACTCACTTTAAAAGTTAAAAGGCAATTGAAACAGAATACAACATATATGACACATGGCTCATATATATGACACATGGTTAATATAGACAAAGCTCAATTAGATTAGTAAGAAAAAGATGAATACCCAAGTAAATAGGCTAAGACCTAAATGGGTAACTCACTAGAAACATAACCAGTAAACCCTTGGAACGGTGTCAACCTTAGGAATATTTAGAGCCATACAAAGTATCCTGGTATGGTTATTAGAGCATGGATTTAGGCCTCAAGTGAGTTTAAGCCCAGGCCCAACATGTCAGCTTTATGACCTTGGACAAGTTGTATAATCTTTAAGCCTTAATTTTCCTCATTTGTGAAATGGAGACACATGGGATTATTGTGGAAATTAAATGCAATAAAATGTGTAAAGTACCTGGCCAATAGTAAGCATTGCATCCTCCCTGGACTCAGGACTGGATTCCAGGCCAGATACCCTCAGCTTATACCCCATTTTTGACAGGAAAACACCTTCCATCTCTTTGAACCATCCAAATGATTAAGGATGGTGTGGCCTAGGGGCCTGCTGAAAGACATGCAAATTTGGGGAGGTGAATTTCCCCAGAATATATTAGGAACAACTCTAGAGAACAGTGTCCCAGAGGAGTGAATTGGACAGGAAAAAGGCTTAGTAGATTGGATACAATTACAAATTTTGGCTAGTGGCACCCTTATCCCTTTGGGTAAGGGCCTTGAGGTTCTTATTCATCAAATGTATGTTGGACCTGCCTAGTGGGCATTAATCCTCTGTTATTACTCTCACTGAGGACCCTACCTATATCTACTTAACTATCTGTAAAAATAGGAGAAACGGCTCGGCCGGGCGTGGCTCAGCGGTTGAGCGTTGACCTAGGATCCAGGCGATCGGGGTTCAATTCCCGGTCAGGGCACATGCTTGGGTTGTGGGCTCGATCAATGACTCTCTCATCATTGATGTTTCTATCTCTCTCTCTCCCTCTCTTTTCCTCTCTCTGAAATCAATAAAGATATATTTAAAAATAAAAAAATAGGGGAAATGGCATAGCCACCTTTACGAAAATACTTATGATTACTCTACATTGACAGAAGAGATGGGCTAGAATATTCCTTTGGGTGCTTTCAATCACCCAATCAATGTTCATCCATTCTTTCAGTCAATATTTAGTTGAGCTTCTAATATATGCCAGGCACTATGTTTGTTATTAGGGAAACCATAGGCAGGGGAGATAAAACCCCTCTTATCTAGTAAAAGAGGCAGTAATCAGTCACACAGATATAAAATCATAACCAAGGGAAATGCTATGAAGAAAAGACATGGGGACAAACATTGTGTGGCTATGTGATAGGAATGGCCTTAGAGGTGTGCAGAAGAAGGCAGAATGATGGCATGGTTAGAGGGAGTACTTAGCTGGGAAACTCTGTTTAATATCCTGAGAATATAGGCTTGGTTTTAGAAACTGGGGAGAGAAAGAGAAATATGATATCATTCCTAGAGAGATAGATACTTTTAAAAGTGTGATACTATGTGGTAAATGCTCCACTATGGATATGAATAAAGCATTAGAGAGGCACAAACAAGGAAGCAAATTTTGCCAAGGTGGCCGGGGGGTGATAATTTAGGAAGACTTCCCAGTGGAAGTGATATTTGAGCTGGGTTTTGAAGGGTGAGGAGTTCAACAGATGGGAAGACCTATGGAGCTATTATTGCTAGTAGAGGAAAGAGCAGAGCAAAGATATGTTGAAAGAAAGCTGCAGAAAGGAGGAGCTTCCTAGGACATGTCTTAAAGTAATTGTGGGCGATGGTAGGCAAGGAGGCTCTGGGAGGGTTCCTCAATATGTCCAAGGCTGTTGGTGTTTCTCAGGTAGACCCCTCGATCTGCAAGGTACAAGGCAAGAGGAGGCTTGGGGGTAAGGCACTCTGCTTTCTGCGTAGGGAGAAGGAAGGTGCACTATTTGTTCCCAGATGGGAAGGAAATGGCCGAAGAATATGATGAGAAGACGAATGAACTACTTGGTAAGTAACAGGGGCTCCCAGCGGGCCCTTAGGAACACTTGGGATGACCTAAGCACACTCCTAGCCTGATGCTCGAGGGAGGAGCCCCGCACCAAATGTGGAAGCCAGAGGAGACAGGCCTTTGAAGCAAGCTTGTTCCTGAGAATAATCTGAGGTCAGGGCTGGATGCCAGAGGCAGAGTGGGAGCTCACTTGACCAGTAAATCTCATTCAACCCCCAAACAAATCAGAGAGTGAGTAATTTTTCTAAGGTGGGAATAGGGATGTAGAGAATCCACTGGGAAAAAAATTTACAGGGAAGATGGAATTGGAAGTGAGCCTTGAAGGCTGAACAGTGGTAAGAACAGGCTTTCACTGTAGTTTTCATTTGCTTACTTTTTGAAGCCACGCAAGGAACAAGCAAGTATCAGAGGCAAGTCAGAGGCAGCACTATTTTTTGTGTGTGTGTCTTTCAATGAGGACATGCTGAGAGAGAGAGAGAGAAACACTGATGCAGAGAAACAGTGCAGAAGAGAGAAGTATCGATTGGTTGCCCTCCATATCAACCCAGGTGCCTGCCCTAACCGGGAATCAACGGGCAACCCCTCAGTGCATGGGAGGATGCCCAACCAACGGAGTCACTCCAGCCAGGCAGAGGCAGCACTATTAAATCTGACCCTTTTTTTGGAGAATGTCTGAATCAAAGGGAGTAGGGGATAGAAATGGTAATTTTGTAGCATTGTCATTTGTGTTCCTGCAGCTCTTTTCCTTTAAGAATAGGCTCATGAATAGGGGCTCCCGCTCAGATTTCTGAGAATTATTTGATTTGTCCGTTCTCTGTTCCCAGGTCTGCACATCAGCATTAACTGACTTCCCAGAGCTAGGCGGCTGGTTCTTTGACCCAGGGCCTGAGGCTGTCAGCAATGGGAGTTAGCCTCTTTATTAAGTTCTACCTGAACTGCTAAGACCAATGATGGAATCATGGACTGGGTTATTTTCTTGTCATTATTCTTGACTTTAATTTCTTCCTGGGTCTGATCGACAGGTAGTATTGGTGAGGGAATTTCTTTTTCCCTTTTTCTGACAGCTCATAAATGTCCAGAACCGACAACACAGATTACACTGGTTTGCATTCTCTTAGTCTCCAGTCTTAAAATATGTGTCCTGCGCATGTTCAGTCACAGAGTGAAGTGTTGATCCCTCCTTATTATGAGCTGCTTGGGCTCTAGTCCCAATTGGTTTAGTCTGGCGCTATTAAAAATCTTGATGTGTTTAGCATATGACACTGATTTGGTGGAAACCAATACAGTAGTAATATCCTCACAATGCATTGTAATTTATAGCACTCCCAGGGGGTGACAGCCTTGGAATGCCTAACAGGGGCGAGCTTATGAAAGCAGAGGTCACGTGGGCTAACCACCACCATCACTAGAACAGAGACTAGTTGCAGCTCCTCTCCCCCAGCCCCTAGCCTCACCTCTCTTCACACAGAGCAAATCAAACAACTATAGCTGCTGTGGCTATAAAAACAAACAAACAAACAAACAAATAAAACCCAGCCTCTTAGTTGTGCTTGGACATGAAATTAAAATGAAAAAAAGTCCAGGTTCCTTCGTTTGTAGCATCCCACATTAACCCGTCTCGTCTCTTGGAAGGAGGAAGTAGACAGTGGCCTCTAAATTCCTTTTTCTTAAAAGCAGAAATGGAGGTTCATAGGAGAACCTCCATTAGCATAGGCCCCATGCTAAGTGCTTTGTGTGAATTATCTCATGTAATCATCCCATTACAGCCTGCTGAAATAGGTACTGTTGTCCCCATTTTAAAAAAGGAGGTGGGGGGTTAAGAACCTTGTTGAGAATCATGTAGTTGGTTAGCTTCTGAGCTAGGATTTAAACCAGGTCTGATTAAGAGCCCATGCTTTAATCCACAACAACATACTGTTGGGAGTTGAGAATATTTAATCCTGCTTTCTTTTCTTCATACTAAATTTTGCTCTCCTCAGAATGACCCAAGTAGGGGCTGGTGGGAGCAGAGATGGGCAGAGAGAACCACCGGGCCTTTGAGTAGCTAATCCTTTTCTTACCCATTTCTAACCACCCTCACCCCCAACCCTAGCAGCTGCCCTTGCAAAATACTGTTCACTGTTAACTTTTAAATATAAATACTCCCAGGGCCTGAGCTGACTTTTACTTGTGCATTCTATGAAGTAAAATATAGACAGGGTTTTTGTGGCCATAAATGGGAATAGTTTCCATTTTTAAGCTAATTATATAAATTTGATAATTGGCGAAACTGGTTTTCTGTTAGGAAAACCCAGAAAATAATTTAGAGGAAGACTTGCCCATAGAGCATCTGCCTAGGACAGAGTTATTCCTGTCAGTATTAATAAGCATAGTAGTGTCATATTTTTTTCTACCCTGTCAATGCTATTCATTCCTACCCCCCACAATGAATGCTGTATGTATTCATAGAGGAAAAAACTGAAGGGCCCCATAACAATGATCGGAACATCAAACCAGCCCCAGAAGAACACAGCATGTCCAGGGGGCCAGAGGCTGAAGGGCAGGCCATCCCCCAGCGATTACATTTGGATTACCAGCCTAATCTGCTTTGGTATTTGACCGCCAGCCTATCCACCCCAGGCTGCATTTGGAGGATATTGAGCACTTTCATCCCCAAGCACTTCACCAGCTTTATAAATGACCCACTCGATTCCCTTCAGCCTCCTCAGGGATGGGACGTGGCAGCTGTTTAATAGCCACATAGCAATGTTGCAGTGTTTTAGGGCAGAAAAGAAGAATCCTGCATCCATTTTAAGCTGCAGGGAGTATTTAGGAAGGGAGAATGTAATTATCCACATTGGAAATGGGCCAGGGCTTGGAGCTTTGGGGAAAGAGGCCTTTAGGACCTCCACTTTGCAGCCCACCTGAAAGATGGGGCCTCTTTTCAGCAAGCAGTCTGGGACATCAGCCTGCTTCCTGCTGACTTAGGAAAAAGCCCCCAGGCACTGCTTCCTTCATATATTCCCCATCAGACTCTTTACAGGGTCATTGAAGGTCTCCTTTCCAAGGACTGGCCCTGGCTCAGCTGGGAAGATATGACAGCATCCCAGGGAGCTGCCTTGCACACACCAGTTTGGGTTTAACATATAATCAAATCAGAGTGACAGCAGGTGGAAACAGTCTTTTGTTGCCGCAGGAGCTGTCCTTGAGTTCAGGAACAAAGATAGGACAAGAAAGACAAAGTCTGGATTTGCACGTGTGCATTTATGCCCACATCCATGGGAAAAAATAACAAGGACTTCACCAGAATCATTTATTGAATCTTATAGGGAATGAGTAGGGAGACTTTCTTCTGCATCTAACAACGAATTTAATGCCAAGATTTATTTATTTTTAATTTTTTAAAGAGGCAAAACAGCCAAGGGTGCTAAGTTCCTGGGGCCTGAGTGGCTTTTAAGGTCAGTGGTAAAGAAATGAGTAGCTGATTTTCTCCTTAGTGTGCTACTTGGGAAGGCTTCTGTGCAAAATCCTGGAGTCAGAATTGCCTGTCCTGGCCACACTGGTATCAAGCTCTAGGACATATGATTTGACAAGGCCCATGAGTAGAGGAGTAGCTCCCTTACCCAGCCCCAGGTAGTTAGGTGCTCATCATTAAAGTATATTTTCAAGTAAGCTTTAAAGGCTAAAATATAAACAGAGAAGTAGAGCTACTTTAAAAAACACAGAAATCTTTTTAAATATCACACATAGTTATTGAATTATCTAAATTATAGAATATAATTTAGCCTTTTATTAATGATTCAAATTTTGGACTTGGAGTTAGGAGACCTGAATTTTAGCAGTGGCTTTACAAGTTGTGAGCTTTGATAATTCCTCCTACTCTGTCCCCTGGAGAGTGGTGGCAAGGGAAGAAATGCAATTTCTCATTTAAAAACCACAGGCATTGGACGAGATGCTTTCTGAGGGAACCTTCACATTTAAGATTTGTGATGACTGTATTTCATTATATAGCGATCCCTTCAGGGTCTAAGGGTGCATATTTGCCCTCACACTAAATGGTCCCATGTGCTTTGTAGTTCTGACACTGCCCCCTGATGTGAGCTGTCCCCTCATGCTGTTGCCAATATGCCTGGGAAAACAATTAATTTCCTGCCCTATTCTACAAATAGCATTTAATATACATAGTCTGAGTGAGAACCCAGGAGTGATCTTTCCTACAGTATAGAGTGAGGTGCGTGGGTCTTGTCACAATAAGCCGCTGCTTGGAGGCATTTGTCACTTCTGAGTTTGTGACTGTGACAGAGGCCCCCAGAAGACTGGCTTCCAGTTAAGCGAGGTGCTGTATTACATGAATAGATTGGATATACTCCCGGTCACAGTCCATTCACTTAAAAGAGTAGAAGTATTTGTGGGAGGAAAAAAAGTTGCCTATAAAGCATATCTCCAAGTTTTACTCTTCCATATTAATTTTCATTATAAACTTGGAAATGTGTTTCTAGGGAGAATTTTTTGCCCTAAGACGTAATAAAATCATACTGCAGTATGCAGCAGACCTTGTAAAAGCACACATTCAAGGGAAAATTCTAATTTTACAGCACACTTTTGTGTTCAGCTTGCGTGCCTTACTTAGAGCAGTGAGGGTGTTTGGGTTTGGCACAGCTGCTCAAAGGTCTCAAAGAAACCCACCGCTCCCCTGATTCAGAGAATCAGACTACAGCTCTCCACCCCAGCCTAGAAAAAGCAGCTGACTGGAACAGCTGCAGCAGAATCCCTGGCCCTTTCTGAGTTGTTGAACTCCTAACAAGAGCTTTAGGAAGGCTGCCGGCCTGAAGTAGCACCTGGGCTGCCCAGGCTGGAGCACACCCCAGTGCAGCAGGAAGGGAAAGGAAGGCTACAGCTTCAGAGGGTCCCCTGCAGTGATGGGCTGCCCCATGACAGCAGGCTCGATGACACAGCTGAGTGGGGTTCCCGGCAGGGCTTTCCAGGAGATGTCTATTGAACTAGTTTTTTCGCTTACAACTTCCATAATATATGTTTCTTTCTTGGAAAATAAAAAAAAGCTTTATGCAAACATCTGGCTTGTAAAACAAGGTAAAATAGAGATAGTTGTTTGCATTATAAAAGGATGATTGTACTTCACAAAAAAATCACATTAGATCTTCTATAAATAATGAATTTAAAATATGGTGTGTGCCTAAATTTTGTTTAAACACAACTTTGTGGGCTGTTGTTTTAAGCCAGGTATACCTAAAATGAGTGAATTTCTACTTTGGACTTTCTGAATCATGAGACAAATCTGCCTATCAGATTTCACCTCTTAATTCATTTTTCCTTTGCACATTTTTAGAGGAGGGAAAAATGCATGTCAACTCACACATTTTGGGATCCAAATTTTTCCAATTACCAGTAGCTACCCTTTTCCTAACCCTCACATCTTCCCCTCCCTGGGAGCCACAACTGGAGGGTTCTTATCTCCATTTGGCCTCTTGCAGAGCTATGTTCCAGTTCCTTTTGTCTGGGCACTCATGCTACAGGCTTTATAGGCTGTCGAATGTTGAAATGCTCAACTAAGATTTCAGAGTCTGGGAGGTCCCTGCTCAGATGGACAAAAAGTTTGTGTAAAGGGGCCTGTAGCTCACTTTTATCCTGTTCCACTTACCTAATGTGATGTTGATGATTCAGCAGAAAAGAGCAGAGCCCCTTTCTTCCCCATAATCCCATTGCTTCTTTCTCTCCCCAGCAAGAAAGTGGCGAGTAAAAAGTGCCCTGGGAGCCTTGGGCCAGTGGCAGATTGAGGTGGGAGAGCCAGCACCCCATGGAGCAGGAAACCTGGGGCCTGAACTCATCAAGGAAAGCAATGCCAGTGTATGTTTATCAGGTGTCTTGGGGAGGGGGCACTGAGTGGGGAGTGGGCTCCTGGCTCTTGAGGAAAGGGACCATGTCTTGTTCACTTCTTCATCTCCAGTGTGCCCACCTGGACACTGCTCTAGAAATGTTTGCCGGAATGAATACCCAAGGGTTTTTGGCATTATCATCTCAGGGCAAGGGCTTCAGGCCTGGAATGTCACAGCAATAGAAGCATCAGAGGGAACTGAGAAGAACTGAGGGTCTCCCATTGTGCCCGTGGGCAGAGATTTGCGGAGGGAGAGCCATTCCTTCCTACCCCTCCCCAAGAACACTCCTGGAGTTGGATTTTCCTTCCACAGCCCATCTTCATGCGCAAGGACACCAAGATGTGTTTCCAGTGGCGGATTCGAAACCTCCCCTACCCTAAGGATGTCTATAGTGTCTCTGTGGACCAGAAGGAGCGCTGTGTTGTTGTCAGAACAACCAACAAAAAGTAAGCAGTGTGGTTGACAATGGCCTACCTGTGTTTGAGCAGGAGGGTTGGATGGACCTGGGTTAGGACTCAGACTGCTCCCTACCCTGGGTGGGTGGGT